TAGACAGATCAAGGGCGTGGGAGCGACTCAAACGCGCGGGACGAGAACGTTCGAAATTCGACGAGATGTCTGCATAATGATTGTACAATAATTACCAATCGATCTTTGTTGAATGCGAGTATGAATTTGTACAGTATTGTATTGTATTGCAAGACGGTAAACATGTCGTTCTATAAAGTGTATTGAGAGGGCAAAGAATGTATAATCTCAATTCCTATATTGAATCTTGCATTATTCCTGTGAGAGATGCATGGAAGAGTATTTATAGTATTACAAGTTAGATCGTGGCCCTCGATTGGGAGTACACGTGGCCTCATCTCGTAAGTTTACATGAAAAATCATAGATATCACACTTGACTTTCTAGCCTTCTACACATTTATTAATCGAAAGCTTGACGAGACAAGACACTTGCACTCCATGATGGGTGTCCCATCAATCAATCAGGAAGGATCCTTGTGTAAGACCGAATCTCTAGGAAGGAGTGCTACTTAGGGCCATAAGACCTCGAAGAAGATGGGCCTCGGCAAGAAGAACAACCTCGGCATATTCACTTCGGCGTTAGCATTTAGATCACGTCATGGGTGTTGTTTAAGTATGCTAGTCTACTTCTGTTGGCCTGGGGACCTCGGTTAGGATTCGATGTCGTTTGGCATAAGTGGGCCATGGGCCCCTGTGGGTCGGCCAAGTGTGCCAAACGTAAAAATAGTTTCCTAAGTCCAAGTATGGTCATTTATGTAATGCTTGTACTTTTATTATGGTGAAGCGAATTTGTGGGGTAAAAATTGAATGAATTTTTTTGTACTCTAAATAATAGTCCCCAAGTCCAAGTATAGATATTTATATCACGGTTGGAGTTGAAAGTGTTCGGATTAGCACGTGAAGTTGACTGTTAAGGTGTTGCTGTGATTAAAAAAGGTGATGAAGAGGCAGAGGCATTTCAGCCTCGACCCACTTCGTGAAGTAATTGATGGCCACAATAGTGAAGTTCGTGCCTCCTCTGCCTTTAGGTAGGGGACATATCAGGTCCACGCCCCACTTGGAGAAGAGCCGTGGGCTGGAGAAGGCAATTAGCTCCTGCGAGAGTTATCTCTGAATGGGAGAGAAATGTTGGCACTTGTCACATTAACGCACGAATTGAAGCACATCCTTTTTAAGATGGGCCAGTAGTACCCTTGACTCAGTGCCTTTTGTGCCAAGGCTAGTCCTCCTGAGTGATTGCCACAAACATCTTCGTGGATTTTCCTTAGAATGTAGGTAGCCTCATCTTCCCCTGCACAGCAAAGAAGTTGGGGAGGAGAAGCTTCTTTGTAAAGTATGTCATCAACAAAGAGGAAATGAGCTAACCTCCTTCTCAGTTTGTAGGCCTCATCCTTGTTAATGGGCAGGACCTAGTCCTTTAGGTAGGCTATGATAGGTTGCATCTAGTTGGGAGTTCTTTCGACCCATATCACTTCGGGGCCCTCGGTAGACGGCATGAGAAGGTGCTCAATTGGTACTATTGCAAGTAGTTCGGAGTTCTTATTGCTCGCAAATTTAGAAAGTGCATCGGTATGTGTGGTCTCAATGCGAGTAATTTGTATTATTTCGAATTTTTTAAAAGATGGAAGGAGGTTCATTACTATCTTCAAGTAGGAAGCCACGATTTTATCCCTAGCTGAAAAGTTGTCATTTAGCTTACCACCAGCTGGGAGTCACTGTTGATATTTAGCCTCCTTACTTGCATTTCTTTGGCTAATCTGAGATCTACAAGGAGCCCCTCATACTCGGCAGCATTGTTGGTGGCTTTATATCTGAATCTCATAGCTGAGTTCAGCTTGTGGCTCTCTGGGCTAACTAGGACCACCCCAGCTACCGAACTTGTCTCCAGCTGAACCATCCACGAAGAAGTTTCACATGGGGGGCTCAAAAGGTTTTATAACCTCTCCCACCTCGGGTATATTGGTAAATTCTGCCATGAAATCGGCCAGGGCTTGGCCCTTGGGTATATTGGTGAATTATGCCATCAAATTCAGTTAATTCCATAGCCCACTTCAGTAGTCTTCTTGAGGCATCTGGGTTCTACAGCACTTGCCTGTATGTACTTGGAAGTAGGGCCTTAGCTTCCTAGAAGCTGTAATCAAGGCCATGGCTAGCTTCTCCATATCAGGATAGCGAGTTTCTGGATATAGAAATGCCTTATTGGTGTAATACACGGGGAGTTAGGTGGTTTCTTCCTCTCGGGTTAGGACTGTACTGATGGCCTTATTGGAGACGGTTAGGTACAGTTCAAGAATATCGCCGGGCTTTGGTTTGGAGAGGAGGAGGGCTTATCCTAGATACCTTTTTTGGCCATGGAAGGCCTCTTCACACTTCACATTTCATTCGAACTTCTTCCTGGCTTCCAATACTTAAAAGAATGGGAGGCATTTATCGGTGGCCTTGGGGGCAAAGCGACCGAGAGCTGCCACCCGTCCAGTTAGGCTTTGGACTTCTTTGGGATTTCTGAGGTGATCTCATCTTGAGCAGGGTGTTGATCTTTTCGGGGTTGGCTTCAATCCTTCTTTGATTGACCATGTACCCCAAGAATTTGCTGGAGGCAACGCCAAAAGCACACTTGAGGGGGTTGAACTTCATCCTGTACCTTCCAAGGGTTTGAAAAGTGTCATTCAAGTGTGTCACATGGTCATTCACCTTCAAATTTGTCACAAGCATACCGTCTGCATAGACTTCCACCATTTTGTCGATAAGGTCCACAAACATTTTGTTGACGAGCTTTTGATATGTGGCCCTGGCATTTTTCAACCCAAAAGGCATCATTTTGTAGCAATAAATGCCTCTATTAGTGATAAAGGAGGTGCTCTCCTCATCAATCGGGTACATGGGTATTTGGTTATAGTTTGAGTATGTGTCCATGAAACTCAGGAGCTCATTCCCGATGGTGGAATCTACCAATTGTTCGATTCTTGGAAGTGGGAAGCTGTCTTTGGGGCATGCCTTATTGAGATTCGTAAAGTCAATACATACCCTCCATTTATCGTCATGCTTCTTATCTAGCACCGGGTTGGAGACCCACTTCAGGTAGATGGTCTCTCTGATGAATCCATTCTTGATTAGTTTTTGCATTTCTTCTTTCAGAACTTCATACCTTTCTGGGTTGAGGGCTCTTCTCTTCTATCAATGGGGGCAACTTTAGGATCTATTTTTAGGTGGTGACAGCTGAATTTGGGGTCTATGTCTACCATGTCCTCATGCCTCCAAGCAAAGACGTCCAGGTTCTTGCATAGAAAGTCTTTCAATTTCTCCTTCAGGTCGTTGCACAAGCCTTTGCCTACTTTCAACACCTTCGTGGGGTCTCGAGAGCCTACCGGAAAGCTTTCGAGCTCCTTGATCAGAGTTGTTTGGGGTTCATGTTCAGTCACACGGAGATCGATCTCATCAATCATGGATAGTTCTTCCTGCTCAGGAGGTGCGTCGATCATGTCAAATCAATCATGGATAGTTCTTCCTGCTCAGGAGGTGCGTCGATCATGTCAACATCTTCTCGTTCGGGAGAGCCTTGGTTGGGACGTCTGCCATGTCCACATCAGTCAGGATGGCATATACATCTTCGGGCTCAACCTTTGTGATGGAGCTCAAGTAGCATTCGCTGGACATTCTTTGGTCACCTCTCACTATTATCATCCCATTCTCAGTTGGGAGTTTCATGCATAAGTGGAGGATGGAGGTGAAGGTTCCTAACTCCTTTAGGGCCGGTCAACCCAAGACTTCATGGTAAGCTGACTGACTGTCGACGATAAGGAATTCCATGAAGTTCATTGTGGTTTGGGGGGACTCTCCCATCTCTACCACAAGTGTTATTTTTCCCCTCGGAGTGATACTATCTCCGATAAATCCATATAGAGGAGTGGTGGTAGGCGTCAGTTCGTGGTCCAAGATCATCTTGTCAAAGGTCTCCACCCTAATAGGATATTAATGGGGCTGTCATTTTCCAATTAGCATTCACTTGAGCCCATTCTAGGGCGACAAGGGCCCTTACTAAAAGCGCATCACAATGGGGGTACTGGACTCTCTCAGAAGATGATTGGCGGTACTTGATTCCTTCAAGAGCTACTGTCCATGATATAACTTGTCAGCGGGAGGTGCTTAGCCTCTCGAATGTAGTTTCGTTTTATGTTCCGCATTTTAGGGAAAATTGCAGCTGAGGTACCAAACTATTCGTTTATTAGCAGACTTTGCCCGAACCTTTAGTTTGTGCCACCGGAGATACCAAACCTTTAAAAATGTGTGGGGCCAGTCCAAAATGACGGTTTCCGTCTATTTGACTGCCAAAACCGTCAGTTGACCCCTTTAATGATAATTTCAAGAAATTTTCCCAAATAAGTGAAGGGCAACATGGTCATTACACACATTTCCCTCCTCAACTAAAAACTTCACTGTTTATTTCCCTCCATTTCTTTATCACTATATATACCTACCTTCTCTCTCACAGGTAGTAAAAAGAGTCAGCAAGAAGATGGAGGGGACTGTATGCAGATGTGGGTTCCCAGTGCAGATGAAGATCTCGTGGACGAACTTGAACCCGGGAAGAAGATTTCTCACTTGTCCTCGAAGGCAAGATGTGGGTGGATGCACCTTCTTTATGTGGTGTGACCCTCCGATGTGTGAGAGATTGAAGGAACTGATTCCTGGTCTATTACGAGCTAGGAGGGAAATGGAAGCTGAAATCGACACCCTTCAAGCAACAATACCAAATGTGTGGAAGATCTGGCACTTCGGCTTTGTGTGTGGAGTGTTTGCAAAATGGGTTTGTTCCTAGGTATGTAAGGTCAAATTGTAGGATTTTAGTTTTTGTTCCAGAAATTTGAGCTTAGGGTTTCGAAATGGAGCCATGTGCTAGATGTTGTAAAATGCATATGTAAAAAAGGAAAATTTATGTTGTACATTTTGACTGGAAATTTAACGATATTTTCCTGGCCTCTATTTCAAATGTGAAATTAAAAGAGCATATTACACTTCAAACTTATCTGAAGAAGGTGCACCATAGGTACCAAACCTTATAGCGATTCGCAGAATCAGTACCAAACCTTTTCTAATGATTTCAAACAGAGTACCAAATCTTTAAAAACATTGCAGTAAAGGTACCAAACGTTTGATAATACGTTCATAGAAAGTATCAAACATTCTCATATATTTCATAATCGCCTGCACATCAGATCTTACGAATACAATTTCAGAAACCAACGGCGAAAAGCAGAAACATAATGCAAGATATTCGACATCAACATTATCATCACATTGAATAATTTCATCAAAAATTCCAGTTACATCTACAAAATAAACAGCATTGGAAGCATATATTTCCAGTTCAGTTTACAAAAAACCACAGCATTTTCCCAAAAAGGTAACTATACAAGAGAAACCACATGATGTTCAAGATTGCGATCCACTATGCTTGGACTTCTTTGTCTGTGACTTGGAGGTTTGTGTTGAATGTGCTTTTCTCTTCCCCTTTGTTGATCTGGTATGTGTATCTTCTTGTGTGGTTGGTTGAGACTGTTGCTGTGAACTATCTTTACCAGGCAGTGCCTCCTTACAGCTTCTTTTGTTATATCCAGACCCTCCACAGCGTTTACACGTCATCTTCATGCTAGTCCTTCCCATCTTCACGCCTGTAGGTGGCTCTGCCTGTGACCTCTTCCTCAATTTTTTGGGTCTACCAGCCTGTTTTCTCTTCTGAGGTTGAGTGAGAGGATGCTTTCCCAATTCTGGCCACAATTCAGGCCCTGACATCGGGTGGATCACTGGGGAGTAACATTTCAGGTATGTCTCCTTGCTATACCATGGGTCGATGTACTCATATATGCCAATATTCCTTGAAAGCATGCCTGATATTGCATGGGGACATGGTATTCCAGTGAGCTGCCATTTTCTGCAAGCACATGCATGTTCTGTCAAGTCAACGCTCCACCTCAAACCATCTCTGTTGCTTATCTCAAATTTCTGGTTGCCTGCATAGTCTGCCTTCAAGTACCTTGCCTCAGACTTAACCTTCTCAATGATTTTCACAATTCTTGGCCCGAATGCATGATCCCACCTCTCTGTCGCTTCCCTTTTTGCATTCATCCTTATCATTTGCTGATGCCGAATTTTCTCTAGCATGGAGATGATGGGCCTGTCTCTGGCAACAACAATGGAAGAGTTGAATGCCTCACACAAATTATTAAGAAGAATATCACATCTTGAATGCTCTTCAAAATGGGATCTAGTCCACTGGGAAGGAGGTTTTTCAAGGAACCAGTTGTAAGCCTCTTCACTTATATCTTTTAACTCATTCATTGCACTCTTCCACTCCGACACTGTTGTTGCCCTTGCTGCAGTCCAAAATAAGTTCTTAAGTGCCAGACCTTTGTGTGCCAAGGTGAAATTGCTATAGAGAGGTCTAGCACAACACCTATGCTCCGCTCCTTCACAGTATTGACTTATGGAATCCACCAAACCCTTTTGTTTGTCGGAAATGAATGTCCAAGCTCGAGGGTTGTGCATCCCTATGTCACCAACCAACAATTCTATGAACCATTGCCAGTTTGTTTTGTTCTCTACATCCACAACTGCCCATGCTAACGGGAACATACAATTCTCACCATCAATGCCAACAGCTGCCAACAACTGTCCACCTTCTGCAGATTTTAAGAAGCATCCATCCAACCCAACAACTGGCCTGCCCCCAGCCTTAAACCCTTCCTTACAAGCCCCTATGCAGATGTACAATCTCTTAAAAGTATGTCCCGAACCTTCGATTTGGACTGTACTGCCTGGATTTGTTCTCTTCAATTCCTCACCATAATCCCATAAAATTTTGTACTGCTCAGCTACAATCCCATTAATAACTTCTGCACATTTCGATCTTGTCCTATAGAACTGATGCTTTGAAATCTCATATATGCAGTCCTCTTTCACAGTCTCCATAAAACTACTCATTGGAATGTTTGGATCAGACCTAAATTTTCTCACGTACTTCTTTGCCAGAAAACCTGAATTAAACCTTCTATTTTACCACACCATGGTACATGTGTGCTCATCTACAAATGTGTTAATTCTAAGACTCTTGTCGGGTTGTTGGTACGCATACAAAACCCAAGGACAATTATCTTGACACCGAACTCTCAACTGTGTCCTCATATTTTTCACGTATCTCAGTTGCCTGGAATTTTTGACTGAGTATTGAACTACTGCATTCCTTAGAATCTTGACGTCGTCGAATTTCATCCCTGGCAGAAATGAATTAAACTAGAATACATTATCATCCAAATGAATTAAACCAGAATTGAATTACACAGAACAGTGGACATTACCTAGCTTGAACTGTGGATCTTCCATATCAGTTGCAGGGTTAAACCAGCACACATTCTTCCTTCAGACAGATGATCCCTCAGCCTCGGTATCACTGGGTAAGCTTCTAAGCTCACTGGAGTCTTCGTATTCTATTCCAGATTCTTCCCCAGCAGCTGCCTCCCCTTCCTGCACATCCCTTACGCCTTCCTGCTCACCACTTGCACCAATGTCAAAACATTCACTCAACCTGAAATATGTGTTTTCATCATTATCTTCCACAGCAATATTTTCTTCCTGCTCGTACTCCGAGTCAGTGAATTCCTCTCCCAAAATACCCTCCTCATATTCATCATCCAGCTCAGGACCTTCACCAAACTCCACATCAGTTTCAGCAACCTGCACATCTGGTTCGGCATCATGCAACTCATGTTCAACAGCTTGCGCCTCTTGTTCAGCAGCATGTAGCTCCTGTTGAGCCTGCTGCTGTGGTCCAGAAGCATGCACATCAATTTCAGCAGGTTGCACCTCTGCTTCGACATCATGTTCAGCAGCCTGCACCTCTTGTTCAGCAGCATGCAGCTCCTGCTGAGCCTGCTGTTGTGGTTCAGCGTCATGCAGCTCATGTTCAGACCTCAACTGTGGTTCAACATCATGTGGTTTCTCTAGTTCAGCAGCATGCACTTCTGATTCATGTGAGTCTACTTCAACCCCTATAAAATCAACCTCTGTATACTCATGCTCTGTTCCATGCACTGTATAAACTTCCTCTTCATCTGCTTCCATGTCATCCACTTCATCAACTACATACACGTCATCACCTTCTACTGATTCATCAAAAATCTCAATTGCATAACATGGTTGCTGCTCATTCAATGCTTCACTAGACTTTTGAACTTCACCAACTCCTCACCAGTCTCACAATCAAACACTCGAACATCTTTCTGTTCTATTTCATACCAAGGCAACTCCAAAACCTCAACTACATGCAAGCAATACAGTTCAGCTGTCCTATTATCACCAAGTCACTTCACTAAATTCATGAAATCTGAGTCTTTAACCAACCAAAATGAACCTTCACTCATTCTTTTCTTCTCCATCTTGTATAGATATCTAATTCTATCAGAATATCCTAACATCTTCACGGCATTGTCCAAAAGAAATCTATTGAAGAAATCAGGGTCGATATAGTCTATATAACTTATTTTCCTATGCTCATACACAAAATTTGCTCATACACAAAATTTCTCATCTTCTGCAATAAAATTCCACCATGATGAAGCCGTATGCTGAAGTACTTTGAATTTTTCCCTTAAAAAACACCGAAAAAAAGGAAGTTAAGCCCTAGCCCTTTTCAGTTCAAGCAACGATCATGTGCAGAAAAGATACTACACAAGCATTACGCTCTAATACACCAAATCACTTGAAATTTTTGAATTCCCCAGTACGTGAGCACAATCAAACAGGGGAACTTTAGAATCATACAACTTCACACCGTAAATCGAAAACACGGGAAGACACTTACCATACACGGGTTGGGGAAGAGAGCCTCGAATGTGGGCTGCAATTTCCGCTGGATGTTCGTCTTCTTCGAAGTTCGTTTCGTCTTCTTCGTGGGTTTTGGTAGGTTCCATAGTGGATGGTGAGTGGAAGGAAGTTGCAACGGACGTGTTTGATGTTGAGGAGGGAAATGTGTGTAATGACCATGTTGCCCTTCACTTATTTGAGGAAAATTCTTGAAATTATCATTAAAGGGGTCAACTGACGGTTTTGGTGGTCAAACAGATGGAAACCGTCATTTTGGACTGGCCCCACACATTTTTTAAAGGTTTGGTATCTCCGGTGGCACAAACTAATGGTTTGGGCAAAGTTTGCTAATAAACGAAAGGTTTGGTACCTAGGCTGCAATTTTCCCTGCATTTTACCGCCTACGTAGAGGCCTCCAAATATGGTATCCACCTAATGAATAGGGGCCTCTTCTTGTGCGTGGTGGTTTCTACGATGCCTTTGTCCTTCTCTGGGCCTCCCACGTCATGTTCCCTTAGGCGGGGGATACATTCCACTGGTGAGGAACGGCCTCCTCATGCCTAGGTGCCTGGTCATTCCTAGGTGGGGGCCTGTTTGTCCGTGGCGATTCATTCCTCCTGTCTTAAAGGTGTTCTCGCCGATTGCGATATGCATACTCTCGACGGAGGTGTCATGACCATATGAGCGGTGGTACGTACAATAGTCGGGGGGTTCTGGTTTGGCCTATTCCTAGGCCACGAGCTATGCCCTCGGCCTCTTCTTCTACGGGGGGCTCGTTGTAAGGTTCCTGCTTGCTAGTCGGTGGTAGTTGGGTTGACATCTTCATATGCCAAAGTTGGGACTACGTTCAAAGTGGTTGTGGCAAGTGCTTGCCCTGAATTTCCATTACCAGGTGGGTTCATCTGGTATATCATCAAGTGGGAGGTCGGTACCCTGGCGCGCTGTCTCTATTGAGATGGGAGGCCTTTGCTGGCTCGATTTCGTTGTTCAATCAACTCCTCATTGATTATGTCCCGCCTCATCATTTTCAGCAAAGCATCGTAGGTGGTGGGATCTTGGTTTTGCACATCTCTCCAAAACAGATTGTTTATATTCAGACCTTTCCTCAATGTTGATAAAGCCTCACGATCAGTGACTTGCACGCAATACGTCATTTCATCAGTAAAGCAGGATAGAAAGCTCTTTAGGGACTTCCTGTTCACCTGTCTCATGTCCTGAAGGAGCTGGATAGGGGCTTCTTTCTCTTTCCTCATCGCGAATCTTTCCAGAAAAGTGTTCTTGAATTCTGACCAACTCTTTATGTTCCTAGGTGGCAGCCGACTATACCAAATTTCGACCGCTCCACTAAGTGTCAAGTAGAAAGCCCTACATTTCACAGCTGGGGTGGCGCCTTTAAGGCTCATATAAGTTTTATAAGTACTTAGGTATTTTTCTGGATCATCTCTCCCATCGTACTTTGATATTTTGGGCATCACATAGTGGCTCAGAACCTGGGCACTTCTTAGTTCCTTTGAAAATGGCATATTTTCATCATCGTCGTCCAAGTCACAGGACTTCTGCTGCTCACCTGAGTCATTGTCCTCATCGACTTCGTACCTGGGTGGCTAATGAGAGGGTCCAGCTTGGGTTCTAGCCTCCTCTTCCCTCCGTTGGCGCCCATTTTTAGACGGGACAGCACGGGGGGCATTTTCATGCCTTTCTTTCGATTGATGAGTCATTGGAGGTGGGCTGTGGTCTGCTCCGAGGCTCGTGTTGCTGATGCTATTGCCTTCATGTCGGTTCTACGAGACTGATTCTGTCAAAGACACCGTTAGACTTCCTTGGTCTTTATTTTGGCTCATATGTTGGTGGAAAGTTGTCTTGGTTATACCGGGCCTCTGTGGGTGGGCCTTCATCATAGTTGGAGAAAATATCAACTTCCACCTCCCTTTCCATGGGGCTTTCACCTCAACTGTATTATAGTGTTACAGCCCCCTCTGGCTTTGGACTTCCTCATTTTATTAGTAATGTCTTTGGGGTACATAGGGAGGAATAGGGAAGCCTCCCTGGCTCTGTATTTGGGCCATGAGTTTCCTCATGGCCATGTTTTGGCTAGTAATGTCCCTTATATTTGCGGCCATGGTGGTCATCTCTCTTGACAATTGAGTGTCCATTCGCATGCCACCTCTTTTGTGGTGGTGATGAGGTCGATGCCGAATTGCCGGGCAGTTGTCGGTGGGGGCATTCCAACATTTTTCCTTACCCTCCTAAGAGGGTACATCTTCGTCTGAACTTATTCTTTCGTGTTTGAACTCCAAATTGTTGAAAAGTTATGGGGCTTCCGCTTGTTCTTTTTCAAGAACAAATCCTTTTTTCAAGGGGGATGCCTGAATGTTCTTCTTTTAGTAGGCTTTTCCACACGGTTACTGGTGGTTATGGTATAGATTCCCACAGATGGCATCAATTTGTTGACCCCAAACACTGCCAACAGATATTGGACCCATCCACGCACACGTGAGCCCAGTCCAACACGCTAAGACATGTGAACGATCTCAAATAGACAGATCAAGGGTGTGAGAGCGACTCAAAAGTGCGGGACGAGAACGTTCGAAATTCGGCAAGATGTTTACATAACGATTGTACAATAATTACCAATCGATCTTTGTCGAATGCGAGTATGAATTTGTACAGTATTGTATTGTATTGCAAGACGGTAAACATGTCGTTCTATAAAGTGTATTGAGAGAGCAAAGAATATATAATCTCACTTCGTGTACTGAATCTTGCATTATCCCTGTAAGAGATGCATGGGGGAGTATTTATAGTATTACAAGTTAGATCGTGGCCCTCGGTTGGGAGCACACATGGTCTTAACTCGTAAGTTTACATGTCAAATCATAGATATCGCACTTGATTTTCTAGCCTGCTACATATTTATTAATCGATGGCTTCGCCGCTATGTTGACAAGACATGACACTTGTACTATATGATGAGTGTCCCATTAGTCAATCAGGAAGGATCCTTGTGTAAGACCGAATCTCTGGGATGGAGTGTTGCTTAGGGGCTCCAGACCTCGGAGAAGATGGACCTCGGAGTGAAGGGCCTCGGCAAGAAGAACAACCTTGACATA